TATATATATATATATATATATATATATATATATATATATATATATATTTATATATATATATATATATATATATATAGTTCCTTGATAATGTGAGTAGTCACGAAAGCGCTTGGAATTTCTCTATTCTTTCAGAGTGGTTGTTTTGCATATTTTGAAATCACCTGTTCACTGTGATCTTATTGCATCTATATATATATATATATATATATATATATATATATATATATATTATATATATATATATATATATATATATATATATATATATATATATATATATATATATATAATCATGAACGAAGCTGTGGCTGGCCCAGATTCGATCCCGCGTCATCTTGTCCCACTCTGTGGCAAGACAAAATTCGTGATGCTTAAGTACTGGAGTATCGATCCTCTAGACAACATGAGCCTAGCAAACTAGGCTTGCTCCATTTTCTGAGGTCATAAATGGCCGTTGTAAGCTCAGAGCTAATTTCAATCTACTAAAGCTTCAATACCAGCCTTCACGAGCAGTCTTTATAATAATGAAATCGTGAAACAAGTAATTTTGAATCATTAACGAAAGTGCGGCCTGCCGAGGCTCGATCCCGCGTTAATGATTCAAAAATAACTTGTTTCGTGGTTTTATTAATATACAGACTGCTCGTGAAGGCTGGTATACAAACATAAGTAGACTGAAATCAGCTCTGACCTTACCACTACCACGAATGTCCTCGCAACATGAAGCAAGCCTAGTTAGCTAGGCTCATGTTGTTTGAAGGATTGATGGTCCAGTGGTTAAAGCATCACGAAGGTTGTGTTGTTCCCACAGGGTGGGACAGGGTGTCGTGGGATCGAATCTCATACGTTTCGTGATTTTATTAATATATTAATATATATATATATATTATATATATATATATATATATATATATATATATATATATTATATATATATATATATATATATATATATATAATGTCGTGCCGAATAGGCAGAATTTGCGATCTTGGCTTAAATAGCAACGCTCATCTTGCCATATAGGACAAGTGAAAATTTGTGTATGCAATAATTTCACCAAAATCGTTCTGAACCTAACGAAAAAAATAAATTTCACTGTGTTTAGTATTAAATTATTGTAAACAAATCTAAAATATATTTAGTTGGGTTAGGCTAAAATAAATTGTTCTTGTTATAATAAGGTTAGGTAAGTTTTCTAAGATTCTTTTGATGCAAAATTATAAATTTTTACATTAAACATTAATAAAAAAATGTATCTTTAAAAATATAAGAGAAAATTTTAGAAAGGACTTAATTTTAAATGAGTCCTTGCTAATTGACTAGTTTTACATATTCAGCACGACATGTATATATATATATATATATATATATATTATATATATATATATATATATATATATATATATTATATATATATATATATATATATATATATATGTATATATACATATATATATATATATATATATATATATATATAGAGAGAGAGAGAGAGAGAGAGAGAGAGAGAGAGAGAGAGAGAGAGATGAGAGAGAGAGAGAGAGAGAGGAGGAGAGAGAGAGAGAGAGAGAGAGAGAGAGAGAGAGAGAGATGAGAGAGAGGTAGGAGAGAGAGAGAGGAGAGAGAAGAGAGAGAGAGAGAGAGGAGAGATATTGGTAAAATGATGGGCTAGTGAGAATGTAGGTAAAAAGGTTGAAGAGGTATGGAGGAGACTTATTAAGAATGCAGTGTTAGAGAGTCGAGTCGAAGTTTGTGTAAATAGGAGGGAGACTGAGGGAAAGAAGAGGAGCTATTGGTGGAATTTAGCAGAGAGTGGTAAGAGAAAAAAAAGTAATTATTTGACAGGCTTTTGTAAAACAGAAATAAGGAGTGAAAGGTATATAGAGAGAAACAGTGAGGTTAAGAAATTGGTAAGGGACTGTAAAAAGAGTCGAAATGAGAGATCGTCTGAGGTACTGTCAACAAATTTTGCTGAAAATAAGAGAAAGTTTTGGAATAATATTAATAACATGAGAGAGCGTAGGAAAAGAATGGATTTAACAGTTAAAAACGGAAGAGGAGACTTACTAGATGAGAAGTTGGAGGTATCGGGAAGACAAAGGAATATTTTTGAGGGTCTCATAAATGTTGAAGAAATGGAAGCTTCGATTTCATGCATTGATAAGGGAGGTATAACATCTCTTAGGAGTGAGGAAAAGCCATATATGAGTGTGTGGAAGTGCGTGGGGCAGTGTGTAAAATGAAATAGGTAAAACAGCTGGGATTGATGGGATAAAGACAAATGTTGAAAGCAGGTGGGTATATAATTTTGGAGTTGCTGATGCTTTTATTTAATATATGGAAGAGGATATGGTACCTAGGGAGTGGCAGTGTGTGTTCACAGTTTCTTTGTATAAAGGCAAAGGAGGCAAAAGAGAGTGTGAGAATTATAGGAGATTAAGCCTTTTGAGTTTACCTGGTAAGCTGTAGGGTAGAGTTATCATTGAAAGAATTAAGAGTACGACGGAGAGTTGGATAGCAGATGAACAAAGAGGTTCAGGAATGGCAGGGGTTATAAGTGAACAGTATTTAGATAAGGGTAAAGAGGTTTTCGTTGCATTTATGGATTTTTCCAGGGGATGTGATAGGGTGCATAGGGAAGCAATGTAGTGTTTGGAAAATGTGATACGTTTATGAAAGTAGTTAAGAGATTTTACGAGAATAGTGAGGCTCACGTTAAGGTATGTAGGGGAGAGGTAGATTATTTTCCAGTAAAAGTAGGCCTTAGACAAGGAAATGAGATGTCACCATGATTGTTCAATATAATCATAGATGGGGTTGTAAGAGAAGTTAATGCAGGAGTATTAGGAGAGGTGAGGGATTGGAAGATAAAGAATCTAACTGACAAATTAAATTTAACGTGACAAATTAAATTTAAGCGACAAGAAATTCAGTAATAGAACGCACGGTTTACAACTGAAGGGACACAGGTTTGATTCCCGGGCTGAATAGTTCGAATGAACAAGTCTTTTTTCATCTTTTTCTTCTGTTCGTCTAGCGGGTAATTAGTTGCTAAGTGTTAATTAAAAAAATATGGGCACTTGAGGGAGGTCACTCCATCCTTCTAACTACTATGTCAATTTTCACGTAAGGTTTGTAGAACTTTTCTAAGTTAGGTTATGTTATTTTAGATTACGTTACGTTATGTTTGGCAAGGATATGACTCAAAAAATAATGAGATGAATGATAAAAAAATACGAGGTAACTGAAAACGGGCAACCACCTCACGAGGCTGATGAAATACAGTGAAATTTCAACTGTTGAATTCTCCATCAAGAGGTCGGGCTGGATTGTATCACAAAACTGAAACAAGATTTGCAATAATTTCTTTAAAATAACAACCATAAGGATGTAAGCAAAAGTTATTTGTGGCATGATGTCTGCTAAAGGTGAAAAATATTGTTTTAAGCATTTCATTTTACTGAAGATTTTAAATAAAATGTGTGATAAGTAAGGAATGTATGAGAAAGTCTGCTGCAGGATTAAGGCTTTGAGTCATGAAAGTCTGCTGAACCTAGCAGTTGTGGCTAGTGTACATTTGTACGTCTGTGAAATGAAGCTTTTGTCAATTGAAGAGAAATATAAGCAGCCAGGTCCCTCACTGTGTTATATTTTATATCGTGGTAGGAATATTTGTTGCCAACCTTCTTATTAACCCTGTAAAGATTATTCAGGTAAGAATCACAAATTTTACCTAGTTAAGCTTTGAAACCATCCATTATTTATCGTCATATAAGGTGATTATCAGGTCTGTTAATGTTTTAGAGTTAGACGTAATTATCAGGTCTGCTGGACTGTTTTAGACCAAAGGTCATTATTTAACATCATCAGGTCTGCTGATTTAAGCATAAAAATTATTATATAACATCATACATTCTGCTCATTTATTTATGTTAATGAGTTTTACTGAATTAAGTCTTATATAAAATTAGGTCTCTTGATAATATTTATATACATTATCTACTGGATGTACTCCTCATCTCAGTTTAAAAAAAAAAAAAAAGGAAATTGGATGACCAAAAACTCAGACCCCCATTAACACAGGTCAAATTTTGTAGCCGAAATTTTACATGATGGAAGTTTCTCCAAATAAAATTCTACCCCAGGCGCCGTAATAAAATTCTATCCCAGGCGCCGTAATAAAATTCCACCTCAGGCGCCGTAAAGCGGTTCTCCACAGGACCAATCATCACAGAACAGTTGATTACTTGCAAATCAAACATTTCGAGAGAGGTTGATAAAAAGAATTCTACATACAACAGTACAAATTATTTCGAAGATTATTGCTTCTTTTGCATTAGTTTACATATATACATATAAATACAAATTATTGTTGGTTTTGGAAATGGAATGCAGGAACGCCATTTCTTACCAAATTCCACTTCCAAAAGAAACATTTTGCCAATACTGTTTTAACTCCCAACACTACCTTTTGTGGTAGCTTCGTAGTTACAGGGAGAACATGTCCCGTATCGATGTGGTTTAAGTATATACACATCTAGGCTAAGGTACCCTTAACTACTGAAGCAAAACACGACACAACCACACGCACGCTGACTCATTATAACGTAGGTCCCGTCAACAGGAGGTAAATAAAAACTGCAATTTGGTATTACTTTGTAAAGACAGGGACCTTACCGAGATTTATGACTTCACAATTACTGTGTGCTGAAATGCAGAAGTGATAAAGAAATATTACGTGCTGGTGAACTTGGTGTGCATTTGATAAATTAATAATCGTACATTTTTATTAAGCCTTTGGACGAGGACATTAATGCTTTAGCCTGCTGATGGGATATTTTAATTTACAATGGAGAATATAAGACAACAGTACTAAGGACAAACATACGTAAGAAACAAATCAATTGTATATATATATATATCAAATTCTGTGACAGAAATCAAAAAACGGTGTAGCATCAAAGAAAACATGTGCTGATGAACGAAAAAATGGATCTACCTTGAGTGAGGTCTTAATGTCTTCGTCTCCCATGGCCACCGCAGCCGCTCTGTCCTTGTCACAGTAGACTTCCTCCTTTCCCGGTCCTCCAAGGTGGCCCATTAGTTTCCTTTTCTGCCTCAGTTCAGTTGCCACAAATCTGTTAACCATCTTGCCTTTGAGCGTGCGTATACTATCGTCTGCTTCTTCAGGATTCCTGAGACAGTTGTAAGGCATATTGAGGAAGTGACGCAGCCAGGGTTGTCATGTATAAAGACAATGAAAGAACAATACACATTCTTGGCTGAAAAACACATATGGGTATTGTCTTGTAAATTATAGCCCAGGAGTTAGAAACAAATAGACAGGAAATTAATGCGCATATTGATGTTCAAAAAAACGAATACTTTCATAATATATAAGAACATTTTGTGCCAACCGTATGGATCTGAATACAGTATTTTTAGCAACTTACTAAAGCACATAAATTAACCGTAAACCAACGTGATACTGAGGCTGAAGGTTAACATCTGTGTTTATCTCTGCCTAGTGAGCAGCAGCCAGCATCTTCTGCCAGTGCGCTTCTCTCTTGCTTACCTTCATATCTTTCCTCTCTCCTCTGATATCATCACACATGACTTCTTATGCATAACGAAAATACTTTTTTATGTCAACAGACAACAAAGATGTGCCTTATTTGTTAATAAATATCTTCTAACTCGTGCAAACGGTGACTACTTAACTGATTCACTCAACGAAAACTTTGTTAGATCTGAAAACGCCTACAGTGGTTTTACAACATATTTCTCCTCTTTTGGTTATTGTAATATATATAGTCTTGGATCTCAGAAAAAAAAAATTGGAAAAATATTTCTTTAGCAAAATGAACTTTGTGATGGCAAATGGTACCTTTAGAATCTCGAACACCTCAGTGATTCAGCTCGACAGCTGGAGCGAAGCTCAAAGCATCTGACATCCTACGAATATGTAGAGTGAATATACAAGAAAATTTAAAAAACAAAATAGGAAGAGTGTAAAAAATGCTCAAAAAAATGTGGCGCTCGCTCAAATATCAAAATAATTTGTTGAATTATACTTCGAGGATGGCTCGAGCTCTTGGGCCAAATTGGTCACTCGGTCCATCGTGCCACACTATATTGATCATCATTTCCAGAGAAACGAAGGTGCAAGCTCAGATAATTTATGTCGCGGTTTCTTGACAGTATAGCCACTGCATAAAGATCAAGCTTGATTCGTTTAAAGGTCCACCAGCAGAAGCCACCTACACACCAATGGAATGTGAAACACTTGCTTACCTGCCACGTCCACCACTAGCTTTGCCACGTCCTCTTCCGCGGCCCCTCACAGCACCTTTCTCCAAGGTCCCGAGCCCTGCCACACCATCCTGAAGGAGGTGTGCTTCAACGTTTGGAGTGTGGAGGCCTGGTGGTGGTGGTGTGGTGGTGACCGTTGTTGGTGTAGTTTCTTTGATGGTGGTGCTGGTGCGGGTGGGTGACTTATTCGTTGTTGGCGTTGTGTGGAATGCTAAAGATTTAACTCTAATCTAGTGTCAAATGACTGTAACCGAGTCATAAACTTCCATAACTGTAATCCTGTGTTTTTGTTTATGGAATTTCAATAGGTGATGTTGTTTTCAATGTTGGATACACTAAGATTCGTATTTATGATGTCAGTAGTGCACATGTTGGAGAAGTTATACATGTATATACATGGATACAATAGAATGTGTTAGTGAAGGTAGGATAAATTGATGCCACGAAACATTGAGAGTGCAACAGTAACATGCCTCACATTACCAACAGTGCTTTATGGCAATTCTACAAAACACACATCAATATAATAAGCGAACACACACACATTATATTTATGTTTAACGGTGCTAGACAACGGACAGTCTTATATTCTGGAGAGTGCAAAATATCGGACATAATTACAGGTGCTGGACACGAACTACGAGTTGTTTACATTCCTACTCATAATAAAACTGATTATTCCTGAATAGTATTAAGTGCACTAAAATAAATATTTTGTTTTTGATAACCGAGTCAATGAATGTTCTTGCTTTATAAGTGACCTATAATCAGTGTTGCATTTACTAGGGTTTACTAATATGCTTTTCGTTAGTCACAGTAACTAAAAATATTTATTAGCAATAAAATTAATGGGCCAGTAAGTTACAACTTTTGCACTTATTTATTTTTATAGATATTCAATTTATTTAAATAGGTTATAATGCTATAAATATAAAATTAAGATTGATATAATTCAGCTTTCGCCATATTTTTCTATTTTTCCTAAGTATTATTCCTTCTTTGAGGTGTATAAGATGGAAGAACCGATAATTTATCCCATACATGATAAACGTGTGTATATGTGCATGTGTGAAGTAGTTGTAATATTAGTAACAATGTCAAAGGCTCTTGGCCTCTTTCATCTGTGTATGTAAACAGAACCACAGTTTAGGAGTAGAATCAAGGTTATCAAAAATGTGCACAGTAACCATTCAATTCTCAAGAATAGTGAATAATTCATGTAATCTCGAGAAGCAATAAAACAATCACGTCACTTCTAATACTACATGTTAGATATTTCCACAAACAAAATTATCAACACACTACCGTAAATAAATTTCCTGTCAAGTTTATAAAACAAATACTACATTGTTATATGCAAAGTTACTTGCAAAGCATTAAGTGATATAATTATATAAGCTTAGTTATTTTATATTAACAGTTGGTTGACGCATTTTATTGCCTATTAACCTTTGAATAAATAAATTTACATTCAACGAAGGATGATATATATATATATATATTATTTATATATATATATATAATTATATATATATATATATTATATATATATATATATTATAATATATATATATATATATTATATATATATATATATATATATATATATATATATATATAAATATATATATAATATATATATACACAATATGCTCTGGAAGTTTCAAAAACACACACGCGGAAATTTCTGTAAACCTACTAAGTAACTTCAAATATTTTTATTTCCTTTCGTGCTGTCACCCTTCATTTTTTTAAATCTGTGCATTTAATTCATTTTTTAAACTTGTTTTAATGATGCTCTCGTTTATTATTTATGATTCAATTTTGCTTTAGTCCATCTATTTTATGTATTTTTGGAAAATTGTGTGTGTTTGTGTGTTTGTGTGGGGTTGTGTTTTGTGTGTGTGTGTGTGTGTGTGTGTGTGTGTGTGGTGTGTGTGTGTGTGTGTGTTGTGTGTGTTGTGTGTATGTGTGTGTGTGTGTTTTGTGTGTGTGGGGTGTGTTGTGTGTGTGTGTGTGTGTGTGTGTGTTGTGTGTGTGTGTGCTCGTGTCTTCACTTTCTACCTTATAATCCCATTCCACATTACTCGCTGCCGCAGCTCTTCTTCCATCACCATTATCAACACATTTGGTTTACCTCTGTTGTTTATGCTGGCCAAGAAAGTTTACATAAATTGTATACACTGAAACATAGACGAATTGAAGTTTAAATTTTAACAGGCAAAGCAAATTCTTCTTTACATTGAGTTTGTTAATAACATGTACACTTGAGATTGTTCTTGTAACATGTTAGTAACATGTACACTAGAGATTGTTCTTGTAACATGTTAGTAACATGTACACTAGAGATTGTTCTTGTAACATGTTAGTAACAGGGACACTAGAGATTTTTTCTTGTAACATTTTTAGAAAACATGTAACACTAGAGATTGTTTTTTGTAACATGTTAGTAACATGTACACTAGAGATTGTTCTTGTAACATGTTAGTAACATGTACACTAGAGATTGTTCTTGTAACATGTTAGTAACATGTACACTAGAGATTGTTCTTGTAACATGTTAGTAACATGTACACTAGAGATTGTTCTTGTAACATGTTAGTAACATGTACACTAGAGATTGTTCTTGTAACATGTTACTAACATGTACACTAGAGATTGTTCTTGTAACATGTTAGTAACATGTACACTAGAGATTGCTCTTGTAACATGTTAGTAACATGTACACTAGAGATTGTTCTTGTAACATGTTAGTAACATTTTTTTTTCTTGTAACATGTTAACAACATTTACCATTATAGTTTATTCTTGTAACTTGTTAATAACTTGTACTAGAGTTGTGACTCTTGAAATCGTAATAACTCGACAACAAACATACCACGGCACGGGTGGGGATTGAACCCATGGCAGGTGAGTCGTAAAACACCAGGCCAGTGCGTTAACCACTGGATTAGCTGGCTACAATAGGATTCATCAAACCAGATATATTTATACACCAAAGGGAGGTTAGCATGGGCCACCACTGTGACCACAAATGCAAGTTTTTACAGATGAATCTCCTGACAGCGTGGCAGTGGTGAACTCAAGTTCAAGTCCAATCAAAGCCGTTATCATGACTCATGGTTCACCCTGGCTTGGAGTTTAACGACTTGCTCGCCATGGGTTCAAATCTTACCCTTTCCATGGTTTTCACTACATTTTTTTCTTGTAAGTTAATAACATGTAGTTCTATAGTTTATTCTTGTTAATAACATATACTTCTACAGTTTATGTTTTTCTGTAGTTTATTCTTGCTAATAGCATGTACTTCTACAGTTTATTCTTGTAAGTTAATATGTACTTCTATAGTTTATTCTTGTTAATTACATGTTCTTATACAGTTTATTCATGTAAGTTGTTAATAACATGTATTTCTGTATTTTATTCTTGCTAATAACATGTACTTCTACAGTTAATTCTTTTAAGTTAATAACATGTGCGTCTACAGTTTATTCTTTTAAGTTAGTAACATGTGCGTCTACAGTTTATTCTTTTAAGTTAATAACATGTGCGTCTACAGTTTATTCTTGTTAATTACATGTACTTCTACAGTTTATTCTTGTAAGTTGTTAATAACATGTATATCTGTAGTTTATTCTTGTTAATAACATGTACTTCTACAGTTAATTCTTGTTAATGACATGTACATCTACAGTTTATTCTTGCTAATAACATGTGCTTCTATAGTTTATTCTTGTTAATTACATGTACTTCTACAGTTTATTCTTGTAAGTTGTTAATAACATGTATATCTGTAGTTTATTCTTGTTAATAACATGTACTTCTACAATTAATTCTTGTTAATAACATGTACATCTACAGTTTCTTCTTGTAAGTTTTTAATATCATCTACCACTATTGTATATATATAACAACTCCTCGTGACTAGGATATTTTCTTTTAATATATCATTTCTACAACTGCATCTACACTTAGAAATTTTAGGAAATATTTGTTGCACAAACAGCACTAATAAACGATAATAAATAAACCATGCAATGAAGTTTTTAATGGTACAACGTTTCACGGGTGAGAGATATTTTTAGGTACACAGAACATTCAGGTAATCAGTCCCTCAACCTAGGAGTAGGTGCGAAGAGCACCGTAGTCGTGGAGATTCTGAAGCAGAAACAAGGAGCTTGACGCTTATATACTAACGTCAGGTGGAAATGGGACGGGTAGCAAACGAGGGCATAGTCACTGGTAGGTGGGATTCCCCAGTGGAAGTAGGTCCTACCCAAATTGATGGGTTAGTTGTAGTAGTAGTTGTCGTAGTCGTGAAGGTTATGTACATGTCCTCAGAATCAAGATTCCATGATGTTGCAGTGTTTGACAAGTTGTAAAATAATGGTATACAATGCCGACAAGATGAAATTAAGACATGTGCAACATCTGGGTATCTTTATTGTACAACTTGCCAGACGCTGCAACATCATGGAAACTTGATTCTGAGGACATGTACATAACCTTCACGACTACGACAACTACTACTACAACTAACCCATCAATTTGGGTAGGACCTACTTCCACTGGGGAATCCCGCCTACCAGAGACTATGACCTCGTCTGCTACCCGTCCCATTTCCACCTGACGCTAGTATATAAGCGTCAAGCGCCTTGCTTCTGCTTCAAAATCACCACGACTATGGTGCTCTTCGCACCTACTCCTAGGTTGAGGGACTGATTACCTCATCTTCTGTACATAGTTCTATCTTCAAGTTATGTCCTGGAATTTGTATTGATAAATCCCCTGGATGGTGAAACGTCTACAATAAAGATACCGAGATGTTGCACGTGCGTCTTAATTTCATCTTGTCGGTATTGTACACCATTCTTGTACAACCCGCACATAGAAGAGAGGAGCTAACGACGACGTTTCGGTCCGACTTGTGAAACGTCGTCGTTAGCTCCTCTCTTCTATGTGCGGGTTGTTTGTGTATCGTTCCAATCACGGTATTGTGCCTTTTTGTTATTTAACAACTTACAACAATAAACTCTAGAAGCACATCGGCTTGTGCTACTAGGTCAGATGCTGTGCTCCTTCCTTAAGTGAACGTGACCTGACCTGACTAGGTTAATTAATCCGATAGGAGAACAGAACCTGCCTCGCATGGGCCAGTAGGCCTGCTGCAGTGGTCCTTCTTTCACATGTTTTTATATATAGGTGAGAATAATTAGATTTGATTAGGACCTGCCTAACAAGGGTCAATATATATGTAAACTTGATAAGTATTTACAGTGAGTCTTACTAGCTGACGCTAGGTACCTTTTGTTTCAAGATGAGGTGTGCAGTGGAAGTCCACGAAGCAAACATACCACAATTGTTTTATGGTGTTATTTAATTTGACATTGGATGACACCGACCACTTATGTTTAATCTTGTCGTTTTCTTGAAACACGTGTCTGGTTCTATCCCAAGCCATGACGTAGAAGTTAGAATTTCGGCTTGGTACACAAACGTTGGTAGATTTAGTTGTGCCGCCTAAGCTGCGCAACTAAAAAAATAAGAGGATTACAGAGATTACATTGGGGTCTTTGTCCGACCCCACTGGTAAGTGTCACCTTACTAGAAAGAAATATTAGTCATTTCAAATTGGACAATTTCTTCACATAGTTAATGTACTCAGTACAGTATGGAAAATAATCTCTAAACATTGATATCTTACTACATCTGTGAAAACCCTTCGTTCATCAGTCGATGCAAAATGTGGATACAAGCAATGAGGTGTTTTGCCATATCATGTAAGGTTTGCATGGAGGTGTCTCTTAAAGGCTGGATGTTTGGAAACTAAAAAAATAGTGTTGCAGTGTGTGACCGTGTCTGTTCACACACTTTGAATTTTAGGTCATTGACTTCTTCATATAAACCGTACAGCCACAGATACAGCCTAGCCTTAGTCTAGTAGTAACATCTTTCAGTCTATTGAATCTGTTACTTTCTCCACTTATAAGTTTAACTTGACACTTTTCATTATGAGATGTAATAGATCTGATAGTTTCTATCTGAATTATTCTACTTTCTACAAGTTCGTTCGCTAGTTCCTTTCTGACAATGTTTCGTAAACTTCTGTTTAAAAAAAACAAACTTATACTCATTCTCTTTATTTAATGTTTGTTTAGCTAATTCACCAACTTGACCAATGTGAGAGGGAATCCACAAAAGATTAACTGTAATCCCTTTCTTAATAATTTGTGTATATCTGTGTCTAGCTTCATACACAAACATGCCACATTTAGGCGTCAGGCTATTTAGAATAAGTAATGAGGAAAGTTGTTTAAAATTATGCTGTGAGCGCTCAGTTCTCACGGGCTCGAGAGCAATAAATATGATAAATAGCTATATTTTTTAAGGTCGAAGCCCAATTTTTTATAGTAAGC